CAGAACGCCATGCTCCTCGCCTCGGCAGCTTCGAACATGGCTCATGTGGTCTCGGTGTGTACAGCATGGTTCAGTGGGCTGCAGTGCTGCCATGACCTTGCACAAACTGACGAAGTGCGAGTGGCAGCGCTTCTGCAAAGCACCGGACAGGGCCCCGCGCCCTCGAGGTCGCCCTGCCGGGTGTCGGTCACGCGGCACTGGGAATGACTGCCAGTGTTCATATCGGTTCCCGCCGTCCTTTCTGTCGTTGTGTTGGCACAGCGCTCTCTGCCGTTGTGCCAGGTTCTTGTGGCAGGTCCTGCTTTATCGAGCAGTAGAAATTTCAGAAAGCCATCCCCCTGCTGCTGCTTGGCCTGCTGTTCACACGGCGACGACCGGACGCCAAGCTCGACCGCAGCAGGCTCGTTTCTTTCTTGGGCTTCTGTGCCTGACGGAAGCTTAAGCGGAGGTTCTGCGCTCTTCTCTACATTAGAATTGCTCGCCGTCAGCTCCCAAGTCTGCTTGCGTGGGCAGCATGTGATTCCAATCCAGCAGTCAACAGAGACTACAGCTGGGGCTCAAGGCAACGGGCAACGGGTAGGGTATTTTTTTTGCAAGTTTTTTGTGTTTTGATATTTTTCCAGATTTGGCGGGCTTTTTTTTGAGAAGAGAAAGAAAGAATGCAACAGACACAGCAAGAAAGACAAATCCAGACAAAGAGAGGAAGAAAGGAAGGACAACACAAGGAAAGAGTGAGAAAAGGAAATAAATAAATAAAGAACAAGGCAAGCGATGTACATGAGAAGGGGAACAAAGAGGACAAAGGGACTCCACGGTGGAAGAAGGGAAAGAAAGGAATATCAAAATCAAGAAATAATGGTAAATAGACATTTACAATTTACATAAACATAAAGAAACCACGGGAAGGACAGTGGAAAGAAGCAAGAAGGGAATAAGCAAACACATGAGACAAGGCAAGCATTTCCGGAACGAGGAGAGAAACGTTGCGACTATGTTTGGCGTGTGAGATGGCTGCGTACACATCGGTACAGGCATTTCGTTGCTAGCATAGCTGCTTGCCAGGTGCACCATGGCGATACCTGATAAATGGCCGCCTGGTCGATGTGCAGTGAGCTAGGTGGCGGAGTTGAGGCCACTGAGCGCGAAAATTTGTCTGAAGATCCAGGCATGACAGTGCATGCAGAGCCACCGTCTTTCCATCAACAGTCCATCTAGTGTGCGTCATCTTGGGTACCTTCTAAGACATGTCGACTAACGAAGAAATGGTCCAGCAGCCGGTGCCCCCTACCATTTGTCCACGTGTGGAGAGGGCAGGGCCTCGCGTCCGAGAGCGCTCATGGTGAGTTCGATCTGCAAGGCTCAGGTGTCCCTGTTCGAGTCGGGATCAACCTTCCAATCCTCGCCAACAACCACTAGTGCATTGCGTAGTTCTTGAACTGTAGCACCAAATTCTTCACCGTATTTGTCACTGTGCGAGAAATGTACATAGACTGCTCACGCGACTATGTTTACTAGCATCAAAACATAGTACTCGTGGACTGCTATTACAGTACGTACATACACGAATTGCAACTGTTACTATCATGCTACTATTAGCATTCGCAGCCTGTCGTCTAACTACGACATACCCTTGTCGCAAGCAGGAACCTGCAAATTGCAACTATAAACAGCTTGTACGACGTCAAGAACCATTGAATTTCATGAAAACCAACAGAAATCCATCAGAAGTCCATCAAAGGATGACAACAAATCTGATGGAATCGGCCAAGTTCTTCAGAGCACTTCGGGTCTGAAAAGGCTTGGGGAAGCCCGTTAAACAAAAAAGCTGGACAGAAAGACACAAATACATAGCACAGAATCCGGTGCAGACACAGGACCATAGGGTAATGTTCCGAAACCCATGCGATAAGCAAATCAAACCAAACAACACTGACAAAAAAATGCACAAAATCCTCGCTCCCTCGAAGGGTTCTTTACCCCCGCGCATTACCGAGACAGTATCCAGGCCTGCCTTTGGCCAATAGCTGTGCCAATTCCGAATGGCCAGCTGCGATGGCAACATCGCTTGCTTGCTGCCCATTCGAATTGCCTCGGCTTGCACGGTTGAGAAGGCGCTCGGCCACGAAACTTCCCATGCAAAATGCAACTATTCGTAGCAGAACAGCAGCTCCAACAAAAACTCTTCTGCAATGTGGGGTCTGTGGCACTCCAAGCACTGCGAACCAAGCCTCCATCTCTGCTTCCGTTTTGTGTGCTTCTAGAAAGAGACTCTCAACTCACTGTTCAGTGTCGAAGCCAACTACGGGCAAAGCACCCTCGACATCAACACAGGACTTCTCTGTGGGCGCGAACCATACTTTATGCAGTCTTGCTTCATTGACTGATGTCCGCTTGGGCTTGCAGCAGCAAGAGGCACAAGCTCCTGAAGTTGATTGCTCTGGAAAGCAACCGGGTGCAACTCGCATGCTTGCATCCTCTCGTCCCACACGAAGGTGCAAAACCTGCTCTGGCTTGTGAAGCGGATTCTGGCTTTATGGAGCAGTCCTGTCACCCAGGCAGGCAGCTTCCATCAAAGGCGACTCGCCCGTGATGGAGTCACTGCAGTTCGGGTCTGCTCTTGCCCGCAGCAAAAGCGTGCACAAAGCCCGTGTGGAATTCAGATCCCCGCAGGCTCTCAGCAATGACCTCAGCGACGGCTGCACGTGACTTTGCTGGAAGTCTTCGCTGATGTGAACGCACTCCGTCACTCTTAGGGGCCTCATCTACCCAGCGCCTCTTCAAAGGAAGCCGACTTCATCGATCGAGTTCAATATTGTCGAGGGTTTCGACACATCGCTGCTGTCGAACATGATTGTGCCTGGAGTTCAGATTTCCAGGCCAGCATTCATGTCACGACAAAACATGCAAAGGATTTTCTGGTTTGCCTCGCTAACCATATTGTATGCGGGGTTTTCGAAAATGATGTGTTAAGGACAGGTTCGCGACGGATGGAGTTCTCACAAGTCCTGGTCATCCTCTCGATGAAGGCAAATTCAATGCGTGCTTTTGCTCCAGTGCTTGCTGCTACCGGGTGCGTCTCCGCAGCTCCGAGGCGGGTCTGGCACACCAACCCGTTTTCCACGGCATTGTAGCTTAAATTAGATACTGCATGACAATTTCAACACGAATAGTTCTTTTGGCACTGTGCGTGCGCGGAGCACCATCTGCAGCTGCTCGTATGTCGACGAATTATCCATTCAGCCACACACAAATGGTCCCGGCGCAGAAAGGAAGCTCTGTCCTGGCGGGTGGCAGAAGCGGCGTCTCTCCCACAGCATTGGAGACATTGACGTCTGCCCTGGCACTCAGCATGCGCCGCACGGGGTCCTGCATGCTTTACAGCTCTATGTCAAATAGTAGTGGCATGGCTCAATCACTTCAATTGGCTGGCTTCCCATAGCAGTAGCAGCTTAGAGAGCAAGTCTTGGCAACGCATGCACCATGTCTGCCAATTTACCGTCGCTGTCTGCGATCCACCCTGCGCTGCAGCGGCCAGAAGTCGATGCAGCGCAGTGTTTCCTAAGATGACGAGGAGGCAGGAGGCAAACATTGTGGAGCGTGCAGAGTCCAGTCAGATAACACCCCTCGATTCAGGCATGCCGCCATCCTTGTCCACATCTTCTGCTTCCCGCCCTGCAGGTAAACTTCGTGTCACATGTATATGGACCCGCCCGTGCTCAATCCAACAGGTTCACAGCAGTCCAGCGAGCGCAAACTTGTCCAAGTGACTGGCAGCTTGGCCGACTGCGCCATTTACTTCCATGGCCTTCAAGCTTGACCGAGCACTTTTGCTCAGTGTACAAATTATTACACTCATAGTATTGCTACTTACTTACATACTGCATGCTTTACCTGCTTGCTTACTTACAGTACTTGCTTTCGGGGCTCGGTTCCACCTACATCTATGCCGGGTGAGTGGCTGCCTGCTTCACATCTCCTGCGAAAAACGTAAGGGATCGCTCTGCTCGTAAGTAAAGCTGTGCCAACACAAAAGCAAGAAGGAAAGCTGTTTCGAATCGCAGGGCATGGGCAGTTGGCAGGGCTTCCACAATTTCCACAGTGATGCTGCTTCCTGCAGGGCATAACATGGCGGGTCAGCACCTCGCTCGCCCCCCTCCCCTGCCGTGGCGCCCAGTGTTTGGCGTATGGGGACATAAGGGGCACAGATAGATCTTGCTTTCTCTCGATTCCCGTGCGCAGCGAGGGCCTCGAAGTCGAACATGTCACAGGACCATATGGCCGCTCCTGCAGGACAAAATGTTACGTTGCATTGGCAAGATGTAGAGATTTGTCTTGAGTCTCGATTTGGCTGCAACCAGACGCTCTCCTAATGACTAAAATTGATAGGGACTTACGGTGACGGGTCCTGGTTTTGAAAACTCGCAATTGAGCTACAAGCGGATGCGAGTCAATCAGGTCAATGAAACAACCGCTCGCGAATGGCAAAGCAGAAACACCAACACGCCTAACCCAAGACCCAGCAATGCAAGCACCGTACAGTGCAGCAGCAAGCTACCCACAAGAGTTGACTCCTGCATGAGCTGCTGGGCGACTGGCTATCAACGGTTCAGCAAGCGGCACCAGCACATGATGCTTTCCAGATGTCAAACATGCTGCCGATAGTTGCCTGCAGCAAATGCTACACTGACTGGCATGCGGTCGCATTGTCCATCTGTTGGCGATCCTCCGGCGTTTACCGTTCGGATGCCTCGTGGGCTAGAGATGTGTGCTGGAGAGGATAGGAACGATAAACACTCTGCGAGCCGAAAGAAAGCGAAGCAAGTGCATCTGTCCACCGCGGAATTTGTGGCAGATGCTCAGCATTTGCTTGCTCTTGTTTGCAAGCTCCTAGGAGTAGGCTGTTGCAGCATACTAGACACAAGACACACAGCCTGCATGATGGGACCAAGTGAAGCCGCAAGTGTCTCGATAGCATGGCCCCAAAGCGCACACAGCAGGGCCTCGCGAATTTCTTGGTCACTGAGCCCAAGAGCCATGGAAGTGACGGCCCGCTCGAACCTGAAACGGAGAGCGGAAGCAGTTCACGTGCCCTCGGCTCCTCTTTCCAAATTCTAGGTGACCAGCTCAGCTTCCTTTAGCTGCCCATCGCCTTTCCTATCGAAGCTGGCGAAGACCTGGATGTGCAAGCTGTGGATATTTGTGCCGCTATGCTCTTGGCTGGGGACATGCTGAATAATCATGCTACGAGCGAGCCTGAAGCCAGTTCTGTCGACGGGCCGACAGGCCCTAAGGAAATGTCAATTCTCGCGCTAGCATCTTCGCAATCACCGAGAAAGCCAGCTTCACTGCAGCTTCCAGATTGCATCTCCTCAGCTACCTGCCCTGCGCACTCGGCTGAGCAGTACTCGCACCTCGGCAGCCCGGCGTCGCGACATTGAAGTCACGATTTGTGCATGATTTGCGCATCTTGAAACTTTTGCGCCTAAGCACGACGTGCTAGACCACACACACACACACACAAGGCAAGAAACAAAAGTGTGAGAGAGTGAGAGAGAGAGGGCGAGGGAGCCATGGGGAGGGTGGAGAGGGAAAAGACGGACAGCAAGAGCATAAGAGGGATCCTCTGGAGACCTTGCCAAGGGTGCCCTGGCCCTAGCACAATCCTATATGGAGGTTGAGCCGATCGCCCTGAGCTCGCCCTCCGCCAGCGTATGCTGCGGTGCCTCGTGCGGATTGGCATAGAGCTGATATAATGTCACCGGTGCAGGTGCCTTGAGCGCTGGGGCACATAAATGCATAAAGCCCTCAACTTGCACCGCAGCTACCTGAGCCTCTGGCTGGTGTCGAAACGAAAGGCGGTGCCTTATCAGCAGATTCCCAGAACCGGTCTTCAAAGAACCTCCACTTGCGATGTTTTGTAACTTGTGGGGACTGGCATAAGGCTGGCAGTCGCACGAGTCAGGTCACCCTTGAAGCGCACCATGTCATTGCAAGCCCGTGTCAGAATACTGAAAGTAAGTGAAATAACTAGGCATGAGGCGTGCCATTCTCGCCGAACAGGCTGATCCTGGAATGGCGATGTATGTGCACGAAAGAGTCAGGTTGCATCCAGCTGGGCCTCAATAATGGGCTGCACAGGTTCTGGCTCAACCTCAGGTAAGACTTTCACGGCACTACGCCTTATCGGCCTGACACTTTGTGAGAAGGCCTTGCGCGTCCCTTGCTCACGTTACATTGACGGCAAAAGCGGAAAGCGCCGTGAAGCTGGAGCTCAGGCTCTCTTTAAGTTCTCGATGGTAGACTTGACCGGTGGCTTTGGAGCTGCCTTTGGCCTCGATGCTAGGCAAAGAGCTGCTGAAGTGTAAACTCTTGCAAGAGGCGGCGCCACTGCACTGCTCAAGAACAGATGGCCTGCATGCCGTTCAAACGAGCACTCGTCCCTATGCCGACTGAAGACTTTTACGGGTGTGCGGGGTGACGAAAGTCAAAGTTCCAGGCTCTGTAGTCTCCTTGGAGCCTTTCCCTGGCCATTAAAATGCTCGTGTGACCACTGCTGGCACTCACGCAATCGCCAGGCTGTTTATCACATCTACCTCCTTGCGGCTAACTCCGTTACAGAAGCAATTTCGATCGCCATGCCTGTGCGGGCTTCTTTTGCATCCTTGTCGGCTTGCCCGGGTGCATCGAATCGCCGAACGTAAGCCTCATTGTGCTCAAGTTCAGGTGCACTGGTACGACCTGAACAACTGGCAGGATGTCAGCCTGTCTCGGCAGCTGAGTTTCCAACCCTTGCAATCAACTCTTGGCCACTCGGCCTCTTGCTTGAGGACTTCTCGAGTATGTCATCCTGAAGAGATCGGAGACTCATGTGCGGATGCCTCAGCCACGCTCACGGACGATTTTTTCAGCTGTCAGGCCCTGACCAGAAGAGTGCGCAAGTCTGCGCTGTACTGAGGAGGGATGGGTTCATACCTCAGTACGGCCGACAGCTTCTGATGAGGCCCTGTTGAATTTCATTGGTCCGTGATGCTGTTAAGTGCCGCTCGTCTCGCTGACGATTTTGTACACGAGGCCAAGCCTACAGTGCAAGTGGAGGTGCAGCGTGGTACAGCTCCAGAAACCGCGAGTGAAAGAGCGGCTTCATGAAGCAAAAGACTTTCCGCAAGCAATGGAATCTGTCGATGTAAGCCGTGGCCGGCGTTCTCACACCAGCTCGTTCCGGAGAGTCCCGCCAAGACAGCTGCGCGTTCTGCCGCGTTGCCTGTTTAGACAAGTCTTTCCTGAAGCCAGCAACCGTGTCGGCGACTGCATGCCGAGGTAATACTCTGACGTCGTTGACCGACTGTGAAGATGTCGCAGATGGAGGCGCTTTACGCCGAACCATGATCTCACCTGCCCCTTGGTATCAGCCGCCTTCAGGGAACCGATGCAACACATGCTCGGTCAGGTCGAACCAGGGCGCCTCCAGCAAAACTTCAAGTTGGACTATTGTAGAGAATTGTGGACGAGCACCGCAGGTTCGGACTCATCAACTTCTCGTGTGCTCGTGTCGTGAAAACACGTTACGCAAGTGCAAAGCTCAGGCCTTGTAGTTGAGCATGATATGACTGTCCGGGCAACATCCGATGTCCCCATCAATCATGCCGGCAGCAAGCCATGTGGTACCGAGCTGTCCGTGGTAATTCAAAGCAATTGTGGAACCTGTGCTTGGAGTAGCTCGTCACAGGCGGAACCGTTCTGCTGGCAGCACTATCTGTTGGTGCCGACAAGCCACCACATTTCGGACAAAACCTGACAAAAGGATTAGGTAAACGGCCGAGTGCACAGGGATTTGCAGTGCTGTTTCTTGTTTGAGAGTGACTGTGGAACACATTCAAGGAAAACCTGCCATGAAACATCAAGTAGCGTGCGGTTGGCAAAGTCAGAGCTGTTGAACCTGGACCGACTGTGACTGATCATCTACTCGAGACTCAGCTGCAATGACCCGGAGATTGCATGGTCACCTTGGCAAGTCTTGCTCTCTAAGGCGGCAGCCTTCGCAATGCTCTGCGGCCTCAAGCAGGCAGGTAAGTTACGAAACAACACAAGGATACATGCATGCATGCATGCATGCATGCATGCATGCAAACCTGCGTACCTATACCTGTGCCACAAAAACATGAAACACAAACACCACCACGCACAAACTGTGACACAAACATCACAAACATACATGTCTGCATGCCTACATACATACATACATA